CACTACTAGCTAATCGTATTAAGAACGTATGTGTTTATTCAAATCTAACACGATCATGACGTGATAACGGAAACGAAACTAGTTCGTCATTTTAATAGAACAGCACGCATCGTGTCCAACACGCCACACATCGCTTTGTAAATGCACACGCCAACTTTACTAAGGGCCTGGCCACAGCTACTGGCGGTGCGTTTTGCGGTGCGTTGCGAGGCGCGGCGGGCGGTGTGACTTGCGGGGGTATGCCACAGCTAGACTAGTTGCGGCGGCGGCGGCGTCAGAGGTGCACGTATTTAGAAAGTCCTATCAAATTTCCCTTTCAAAAGTGGCACGATATTACCTTGAAATAAGTGCGTTCTTAGCTGAAGATATTATTCAATCAAGAATAGGAGCGCACCCAGTTAGAAAAAGAGAGAACTTGGCGAATTTCACAATATTTATTATTATATTAGGAATATAAGAACTATCCCGATAAACAGATTATTAATAGATTCAACCTTCACAGAGATTACCAGGTTCAAATCTCAATTTACCATACGTGTTAATTACTGATAAAGCCTATCCTCTTAAAAATTATTTGATGCGCCCATATCCACCGGGTGGTTTAAATGCGGAACAAGTAATTTTCGACAAGACATTATCCCGGGCAAGTGTCACAATTCAGTACGCGTTTGGTATTCTAACTAATAAATTTCGTATTTTTACGAAAAGTGTAAAGGCAAACAAAAAGCACGCGACATTGAGTATAAAGGTTTCGTGCCTTAAAAGAAAGTGATGGAGACAGACATGCAGATTTTCAGCAGTTTATTTCCCAGTTTGGAGACTCCAATATTCACAATAGCGTACGCAGATCAAGACGGAATAATCGAGCAACGGTTCAAGCATCTAGAATACGAAATCAATTCAAATTTCAAATTTTATTTCAATAATCCTATCCAAGAGTATCTAGGAAACCATTAGTACCAGAAAAATGTTGTTTTATTTCGTCCCACATTTTTTTTTATAACATGCCTATATTTATGATGTGGATGTTTTAACATCCATATTTCTGGTCTACTCAGTATTTCACTAATGAATAGTTCCACATCCATTATATTTTATTAGCTCAACGCGCGGTAAAAACAAAATGATTTGTTTCGGTCGCGCGATGCCTCAATGCGTCCACCGACACCGCCGTGCGCGCCGCTCTGAACTGTGGCCGCCTCCATATTGTCTAGTACATTTGTTTCACTCGCACATGGCGCAGCTCGTCGCCGCCAGATGTCACGCACCTCTCACCGCGCCTCGCAACGCACCGCAAAACGCACCGCCAGTAGCTGTGGCATACTTCATAGGTTGTCTACCATTTGTTTTCGCCGCTCCCGCTTGCCGCGCCTNGTACATTTGTTTCACTCGCACATGGCGCAGCTCGTCGCCGCCAGATGTCACGCACCTCTCACCGCGCCTCGCAACGCACCGCAAAACGCACCGCCAGTAGCTGTGGCATACTTCATAGGTTGTCTACCATTTGTTTTCGCCGCTCCCGCTTGCCGCGCCTCACGACGCACCGCAATTCGCACCGCTCTCGGCTGTGGCCAAGGGGTAATATTTTATCGTAATGCCGGCCACTGACATGCGCGCAAATATTCGTACATTGTACGAATGTTTGCGCGCATGTGAAGGGCCGTCAAACATTCATTGGCAAACTTAGCGGCTGTGCAAATGGGTTCGGAACTCAATTTGCGAACCCGGTTGCGCTTCCTCCTACACTTGTTTACGAATGTCTCACGAATTTCTCCTCCTCTTTAATTCGTCAATAGAACATTGAAGAGAAAAAGAGTTTTGAATTCTTTCCCAGACATCATTAACAACCATGCTGTTTTTATGGGATTTATTTTGATGAAGATACGCTATACAGTAGACGTCACGATCTATGAAAATAGCGAACGTCCGTTGCCTTCGCAATCCTGGGCGCAACTGGTCACACGAATGTGTGGGAGACTACGCGAAGGAACGCGGTTCGCGCGCTTTGATGTCTGTTAAAAAACCGATACAGCTTGGAAAACCACGAATGCAGCGAAAACTTTCATTTGCAAATGTTGTCCTACACTTGCGGGTTTGCGTATTCGTGCGAATGTGAGTGACCGGTATAAGGAACACGTGCGAAGCGTGAAACTCCGGAAAACAGTCGAGCGACAGACACTCCAATGTTACCCACGTTGAGGAGTCTTAATGTTTCGCTTCAATAATTCAGGTAACGACCAAAACCCAAGTATCGGCCTTTCCAAGCGTACTTTCGATTCTTACAGAAGTCCGTACTTACAGAAAGCCGACAAAAACAGGTTATATAATTGGAATCGAATATTTAAATGTCGCTTTCCCGACCTTTCCCCTTATGTGTTCGACAACTTTTATTCGCGCCCCCCTCAAAACGTTTTCTTTACGGGGAATTACTCTTAAGCTAGCTTCAAACAAGATGTACACATCAGAAATATGGTTGGGTTGCTTTTTGAAAAGATAAAACGTGTTTTATACGGATTAGAGTGTAGGTTCTTTGATGTCCGGTGACGATGCTCTTGCGAATACTGTCAGTTGCGTACCTTCCATTATTTTCAACCACCACTATAATATATCGAGTAATCTAATAAATAAAAATTATGTTGCTTTTTGCAGTTCGTTTGTTTGTTCGTATTTTATGCACTGCCATACCATTTTAGGTTTTAGGCATAGTATAATTAACTTACAGTAGGCGGAGCGCGAGTAATTTATAAATAATAAATGTGTGTTTTGCATACAATTAACGATTATCACGGCGGAACGTGACTGTTTTCAACGAGCTATTAATGAACTACAACTTAAAAATGTTCTTATCGATATACCTAAATAAAATACAATAATATTTTCAAATTATTGATATCTCCGACCTTATGGCTCTAATGTCGGGGAATAATTCTTAAATTATATCGTAAATAAATGAGCGAGCTCACGGTCTATACAGTGCTAACGGAGCCCATAGGCTTTACAGCGTGAATGCGGCCACCCCTCTTAAAATATGAAGTCCCTTCTGTTGCATAATTATTGTTTCATCTCCTTGTTGACCCTTCAAGCCCAAACGCTTATGGTACACGGCAGCAATGCGCCCGTCCACTAAAAACAATATCAATAAATAGATAGGGAAATTTTAATCAATTGTGGTAGCATCACATTTCAGTTTCACCTGTGTAGGCTTTTGTAATGCCCTCAAAGTTGTAAATTTCTACGTTAATTACATTTGAATTAAAATGACATTTGCATGATGTGCAATGATGTGTGCATTTATGTTTTTGTGTCGGCGATCGATTATCTGCCTTTGTTTTAAACGCGTTATTCGCAGAAGAAGTGCCCGTTGCAAGACGCTTCTGATCGTAAACATTCTTTCCTTACAGATCTGTAAATGTAATACCGTATAATTTTTCCCTTAAAAGAAGAATGGATTTCTACGTTAATAGGTTGATTAGATTTGAATTAAAATAAGTTTTATTTTAATTTTATTTTAATTCAATGCATTTTTATTTTGTTTTTGTGTCGGCGATCGATTATCTGCCTTTGTTTTAAGACGTTGCAAGACGCTTCTGATTTTTTTTCCTTTTTTTTCTTATTGCTTTGATGGGTGCTTACAGCCAACCTGGTGTTAAGTAGTTACTAGAGCCCATAGACGTCTACGACGTAAACGCGCTACCCACCTTGAGATAGAAAGAAGTTCTAAGGTCTCAAGTATAGTTACAACGGTACCCCGCCCTCAAACCGAAACGCATAACTGCTTCACGGCAGAGTTACGGCCTGGCCACGGGGATCGGCGGTGCGAACAGCGAAGCGGTGGGCGAGGCGACCATTCGCGCAGCACCGTTTGCAGGCCACGGGTACTCACGTTCGCCGCCGCGACTAGTAAGGAAGTCCGGCAGCGAAATGTCTATATCGAAATTATCTCGATATTGCTTACAAATTAATAGTTTTTTGGTTCAGGACCTATTATTTGGAAAAGATTGTGAAGTACATGATTTGAATAAGAATCGGAGTATACCTATAGATGGAGAATTCCACAAGAAGTACGAGAAATACTTTGGGTGACTAGACTTCCAAATAGCTGGTCTAGCTAGTATTTCAGCTATTTTATTTTTTTATTGCTTAGATGGGTGGACGAGCTCACAGCCCACCTTGTGTTAAGTGGTTACTGGAGCCCATAGACATCCACAACGTAAATGCGCCACCCACCTTGAGATATAAGTTCTAAGGTCTCAAGTATAGTTATAATGGCTGCCTCACCCTTCAAACCGAAACGCATTACTACTTCACGGCAGAAATAGGCAGGGTGGTAGTACCCACCCGTGTAGACTCACAAGAGGTCCTACCACCAGTAATTACGCAAATTATTATTTTGAAGATTTCATTTTTATCACACGATGTTATTCCTTCACCGTGGAAATCAATCGTGAACGTTGAGTGTTGTTGAGTACGTATTTCATTACAAAAATTGGTACCCGCCTGATATTCGAACACCGGTGCATCGCTCAACACGATTGCACCGGACGTCCGTTAGGCCACGACGACTTTAAAAATATAAAATAAAAAATAAATAAAAAATATAAAAATTTCGGCGTTAATTTTTCGCGGCGAAAACAACTAAACTCATTTAATCACTGCACTATTCGCCGCGACTACCGCTCGACTCCGTGGCTCGCGCCGTCCGTATTCATGCATTTGTTTTGCTCGCCCGCCGCATCGCGCGATTCGCTCGGTACATTTCGCCGGTCGCTTCGCCGGTCGCCGGTGCGCGTGGCTTGTTAGGTACATTTCTATGCGCTTGTTTTAGTCGCTAGACGCTTCGCCGTTCGCACCGCGCGAATATTCGCATCGGCGAATGTCCCGTGGCCAGGCTGTTAGGCAGGGCGATGGTACCCACCCGTGCGGATTCAAGAGGTCCTAGATTGTAAACATTCTTTCTTTACAGATCTGTAAATGTAATACGGTGTAATTTTTCTGAGCAGTGATGCAGACGAGGTAGCTGGGAGGTGGACGCAGCCATGCCGCTGCCGAAGCGCTGCGTGGAGCCGGTGCACGTGTCCCGGGGCACGGTACCGGAGCGGCTCTCGGTACCTTCGGAACTGGAGGCCGTCACCAATGGCACCCTTGCGAACACTGTCAGGTGCGTACTATACAACGTTCCCTAGACCCCCACCTTACTACGCATTAAATTACATAATAAGCCTAACTTTCAACTAATGATCGATCGAAATTTGACCGCAACCTTTGACATCTCAAGATTTCAATAAACATAACAAAAAACGGTTTCTATTTTTTAATACGTTTTTATTAGCTTCAGACGTATGTATGTAACGGAATCTTTGAACATGATTTTGACCCCCTTCAAAATGTCGGATTAACTCGAAATTTGGCATACTTATTAAGAAGGACCAATGACAAATCATTGAAAAAAATAATAATTATAAAATCGAAATTCAACTAAAAAATGAAAAATAAATAATGGTTTAAAAAAACTTACACAATACGCTTTTATAGAAAATCCAACTAAAAAATAGAAAATAAATTTTAATAAATTTGAATTAAAAATAGTGTAAGAAAAAGTGATTTTATTGTAAAAAAGCGTGGGATGCTTTTCTGGATATTATCAAAATAACCCTTCTACTCATATCTGTTCATTCTTACTAATAACAATAAGATCGTCAATGTTTCTAATTATTATTTAAACAAATGAAAATATTTGTAGTTTATAAATTAAAAAAAAGAACAAGCTTAAATAGCTAACCGAATTAATAATGATTAATTTCATTTTTTTTTATTATTCTGTTGATACTGGTTCGGATATTAGAGTGAAATTATTAAAGTATTTTATTGCTATCGATCCTTGACGCGTAAGCAAATTTTCATGTTAATCGGGCTCGGTCTTGGTCGGCGAAAATGACGTTCAAAGATTCCATTACATACAAACAAATAAACATTGCTTGATAAACAGAGTTGAAAATGGTACTTCTTAGCTATTTTGTTTTTGTCTATAATGAATAGATTGAGAATGAAATGATCCAGTCGTGTCAAGGACATGTCAGTCGTAATTCGAATACCCTTAAGTCTTCAGTCCTGTACCACTAATATAAAATATGATAGTTGTATAGTCATTCCATCATGTCACAGTTGGGTTTCAATTAGCAGAAACCGGTGAAATGACTCTTCAAGAAGGAAGAGATAATTTTCTCGAAACATTAATCGAAAACCACCCTGCCTATTTCTGCCGTGAAGCAGTAATGGCGTTTCGGTTTGAAGGGTGGGGCAGCCGTTGTAACTATATTTGAGACCTTATATCTCAAGGTGGGTGGCGCATTTACGTCGTAGATGTATGGGCTCCAGTAACCGCTTAACACCAGGTGGGCTGTGAGCTCGTCAACCCATCAAAGCAATAAAAACATTATAGAATGCGATAAACATTATTACCAATACTCTGTTCCAATATTACAGACAACTCTCTTCCCTCTCCAAGCATGCTGAGGACATGTTTGGTGAATTGACCCGGGAGGCCACGAACCTGGCGGACAGAACTAATGTGCTCCAAGCAAGGATAGACAGGCTCGCTATAAAGGTGACGCAACTCGATTCTGGTGTTGAAGAAGGTGATTTTTTGTTTTATTATTACTCATACTCTTCATCACAATGCATTTCTGTAGGTCGTAAGAAGTCCACAGTGGAGTCAACAATCAGCGTTTACACTCTGGTCTTGAATTACGCTCTTCAACTGAGTTGTCATGATTTCAAATGAATTGTATTATTAACCCTTTGTCTTCGAGAGGTGAATCTCGCTCACTACATGATTTAATGACAAAAATAACGATATCAAAAACATAAAAAAAAGATGTAAATCAGCAAACAAAGAAACATAATTGGCTTAAACAGCGCATTGAATTTCCGCATCAAACAAAGTCGTGAGCGAGACTCACCTCTCGAGTGCAAAGGGTTAATAAAACAGTACTGCTTCTCTGTTGTCTCTAGTTCAGGGCTGTCCGAAAAACAGCCCATAGCTTGTTTTAATGCGGCCCGCGATGCATGTTTTAATCAGAAAATAGTTTTGGATAAACAGTTTGAATGATAGAATTTTTTGTCAAGACATACAATCAATATTTGGTATAATTTATCTGTTTTCTTGTAACTTTCCAATTCCATGTCATCATTTAAAAGTAAAGCTATCTTTTACTATTATCACCGGATCTTTTCAGTGGGTCTCGTTTCCGATCCGGTGGTAGATTCTGCGAAGCACGGCTCTTGCTAGGGTTCGTGTTAGCAACGTCGTCAGGTTTGAGCCCTGTGAGCTCACCTACTAGTTAAGGTTACGCTGAAGTGGCCTCTCAAGGCTCTCAAGCTAGGTAGGAAAAAAAATATAGTAATTTTATTAGCCCGCAAAGGTAGTGTAGTTTAGACAGCCCTGGTCTAGTTTATTTCAATAGTCAACTTTCTATTTATATAAGCAACAATTAGCGAAATTTATATTCGGCTTACTAATGATTGTTTTCAGTGTCCATCCAAGACATCCAGATGCGTAAGGCCTTCCGTTCGTCTCGTTCGTTCGAGCAACAGCTGTTCTCGCGCAACACGATGCCGTCCGCGATGCTGGCGACGTACGCCAAGTGCGACCGGCCGCCGCCCCTCGAGCGCCTCAACGAGTTCAGAGACGACGGCAGGGACGCGAGGAAGTTCTACACGGACCCCGATTACTTCTTCGAGCTGTGGCGAAGGGAAATGTTGCAAGACACGGAACGAATTCAGCACGATAGAGGGAAGAAGGTTTGTTGAGGATTCTCGAATTAAATTTACGATGGTGGGAAAATAAAAATTTGCATGAGTTATACAGTTAACACTAGCTTTAGTCCGCGACGTCGTCCGCGTGGAATAGTCACTTTGGCATAACGCAAAATTTTACCTCCACTTCATTTACGTAGAAAGTGAAAATATTTTTGAATTATAGAATGTTAAGGAGCTATATAATTTGTGGACGGATAATGACAGTGAAAGTTTATTCTTTTGCTGCCCCACCCTTTAAATCAAAACGCATTACTGCATCACGGCAGAAATAGGCAGGGTGGTAGTACCTACCCGTGCGGACTCACAAGAGGCCTACCACCAGTAAATATATGTCTACAAGGACTATACACAGAATCGAGAATCCCCGAGCTGTACTAGCCTTTTCCAAGAGACCATTATTTTCCAAACAAATCGTTGATTGTTGTTTTGATTGTGATTGTACTGTGTATCAGCTTGAATTGAGACATCGATACAAATTTATTTATTTATTTTTTATTTATTTGTTGTCTGGCCAGGTTGTATAGTCGATATCGTCATTAGACCTGTGATCATTATTGGAATAAGTGAATTCTGTCAACTGTTGTTCTCTTTCAATTTTTTTATTTAAATACAAATGAATAAATAGGTAAAGGCAAAATATTTGAGTACTACTTTCTCGTCTCTTTGTCAAACGATTATCTTTTTGATTTGTTTAGTAATTATTGAAGAGTTTTGGTGTTATCAAAACTTATTTTCTTGGAAACGGTCAATAATAGAGGGAATAGAATGCGTACAATGAATCTTCTAACTTGAGGTGTCAGTGATCATACTATACTGGGTCCTAGGAAACCGCTTCCGAAAATGAAGACAAAACGCGGCGCTGGGCCGTGCGCCCGTGCGTTCGTTGACCCGAGCAGCAGCTGTTTTTGATTTTGTGTTTCATTGCTGGTTTTTTTAAAAGTAAAGTAATGTATTTTTGAAGTGAAACTTCTTTTGAATCGTGATTTCAAACGCGATGAAACGAAAAAATAAGTCCATAGAGACACAAACACAAATGTATAGGATTCAGCCGGCGAGAGAATGAGATAGAACACATCAGACGTTCTCGGTCTCCTCTTTGTGCGACTCTTCGTAGCATCCCCACTATCGTCTACTAAACATTGTCCATATGTATGCTCCTGTGTAGTGGGATAGTCAGTACATATACATATATCTATATCTTATTTATAAGTTTCACTTCTTTTTTTATTTTTTTATTGCTTAGATGTGTGGACGAGCTCACAGCCCACCTGGTGTTAAGTGGTTACTGGAGCCCATAGACATCTACAACGTAAATGCGCCACACACCTTGAGATATAGTTCTAAGGTCTCAGTATAGTCACAACGGCTGCCCCACCCTTCAAACCGAAACGCATTACTGCTTCACGGCAGAAATAGGCNAGCCCACCTGGTGTTAAGTGGTTACTGGAGCCCATAGACATCTACAACGTAAATGCGCCACACACCTTGAGATATAGTTCTAAGGTCTCAGTATAGTCACAACGGCTGCCCCACCCTTCAAACCGAAACGCATTACTGCTTCACGGCAGAAATAGGCGGGGCGGTGGTACCTACTCGTGCGGACTCACAAGAGGTCCTACCACCAGTAGTTACGCAAATTATAATTTTGCGGGTTTGATTTTTATTGCACGGTGTTATTCCTTCACCGTGGAAGTCAATCGTGAACATTAAATTTGTTGAGTACGTATTTCATTAGAAAAATTGGTACCCACCTGCGGGATTCGAACACCGGTGCATCGCTACATACGAATGCACCGGACGTCTTATCCTTTTAGGCCACGACGACTTCTACCGTGTGTGACTTGCACACACACACACACACACACCTTTTTTTATGGATTTAATGGTTTCATTTAGCTGTATTAACATGATGGAGCATAAATAATGCTAATAAAACGTTTTAAATATTAAATTTTTTTTTAAATCAGGATCGATTCTTTTTCCTTCCCATCAAAGGTGTTATTAGTACTATCTTCTGGTTTCGTTTTCGGAAGCGGTCTCTAACACCCTGTTTACCGATATAGATATATACTAGTATTATGTAATGAATGTCTGTATCAGGTGCGTCAGCCCCGCAGCGGCGGCGCGGAGGGTCGGGGGGCGCGGCGCGTGCGGCCGCCGCACTCCACGCGCGACCGGCACCGCGAGGCCGCGCTCAACCGCGGCGAGCACATCATGCCGCACACCTCGCCCACCGACCGCCGCGCCGACACCCTCTACCACGGTCAGCACCGACTGTACTCTTCCTCCCAAACGAATTGAATTATTTTTACCTATTCTAGTAACCTCGAGGGATTATTCTAGATTCACCGAACTTATGTCTCCCAAACCAGCTTAGCCTGAATATATATATCGAGGGGTGAAAGGCGACATTTCGCTTAATACGCGACATTTATCTTTGTAATTAAAGCTGCGTTTTATTTGGTATTAGTATCATCAATTCCATGTTTTAAATTAAACTTTAATTAAGTTAACCACATTGTATTTTTTCCAAATTTTTAAGTTTAAATGGCTCTCTCGTAAAGTTGCAAAAATGTAGTTTAAACCAAATAAACTTTCACATGTAAAAACAGCCTGACTAAAAATATTAAGAACATTTATTTTATTTTAGTTAAAGTGTTAATGAGCTAAAATTGATCTTTACTAAAGAGATGACACCCTAATTTTATTGTTTCAAAAAGAAATGTTTGTTAGTTTGCCAACATAACTACTTCAGTTCACCACGTAGGACACCGGTGACCCTTGTAGCAGTCAAAGGGTTAAACAGAGCAAATACTAGAGTAAACAAAGTGTCAAGATTAAAAGAAAACCTTCACAGTGATATAAAGAAGTAAATTGTAAATCCGAGCACACATTGAATAAAAAGTACAATTTTGCAGCAACAAACGTTCCCGACGGTATTTATGGCACTTCAATTAATCGATCGATGTCCACACAACCGGCTAGACCGAACTCTATAGAAATTGAGAACCAGCAGAACAACAGAACGAGATTGACTGGTAACGGACATGGTGAGGCAACATTGTTGTTTTCTTTTTTTTTAAAAACAGTAAGCAGTCGATGTGGCATTTTTAATTAATGAAAAAAATTTCAAGTATCATCTATTTCACTTAATCTTATTGGTTTAAGGTTAGACCAAGAAAATGAATTGTTTATTTATATAATATTATTTGTGTCTTTTGAACTCACGTGTTCACTTAAAAATGCCTAAACGATTTTGGAATATTTTATACTTTTATCAATATGTTATTCGTATTTAAATATAATTTCTAAAAGGCACAATTTAAAAAAAAGAAATAGTAATTTTTCATCTAGTAATTTTTTAAGTGAAACTTCTTTAACGACGTAGGGAGGAAAAAATTTATGTAACGTTTTTCGGTTACGCGCCATCTAAATTCCTTCCGTTACGCGCCATGCTTATTGAAATGATCACTGGAAGAAGATGTTGCTATATATTTTTTTCTCTTTTGGTTTTTTTTCCCGTCCATAATATCCTGACGTGCATATATTTTATTTCTCAGCTGTAATGCCGGAGGAGAGTCCGTACGGTTCGGTGTCGGAGCCGATCTACGTGTCGGTGGCGGGCGGCGCCGGCACGCCTCGCCGCGCGCGCCCGTCCGTGCCGCCCCCCGCGCCGCCCGCCCTCTCCGCCGCGCTCGCCGCCGCCGCGCCGCCGCCCCCGCAGCCGCTCGCGTCGCCCTCCGCCCTGAACACGCCTACTAGGTCACTTTGCTGCCTGCGTTAATATAATGATTGCAACGTCACGTTCCAAACATGAAATATAAATCCACTGCTTTAAACTTTTAAATTGAACTGCCTAATCGCATAACAATAGTTTGGAGCATCACGCATGCATTATCTCTCTAATTGCGTAACCTTCTGAGGTAAACGTTAGTTATTTAAAGCTTGTTTATATGTGAATGAATGTAAATAACCATTAGACTACAACCATTGATATAATGAAATATATTCTAGTCACAGGTGTAGTTTAAATGTTTATTTTGATTTCGTGATATTATGTCAAAATGATGAGTCGCTTTTTTTTGTTTTTTTAAAGCTTAGATAGGTGGACGAGCTCACAGCCCACCTGGTGTTAAGTGGTTACTGGAGCCCAAAGACATCTACAACGTAAATGTGCCACCCGCCTTGAGATACAAGTTCTAAGGTCTCAGGTATAGTTACAACGGATGCCCTACCCTTCAAACCGAAACGCATTACTGCTTCACGGCCGAAATAGGCAGGGTGGTGGTACCTACCCGCGCGGACTCTCAAGAAGTTCTACCATCAATAAAAGTTTGTAAAATATTCAGTGTATGGCTTCAAAAATAATGTAAGATTTATTTATCACAGGTCTACGTTACCGCCACCCCCACCGCCGCCCGAGACTAACGCGCCGCTACACAACGGAGCCTCCCCGCCGCACCGCACCGCGCTGGACGCCCATCTCGACCACATGCACGCTGTCATCGGTATGGCGAATCTCTCGTTAAACTTTAAAAAAACCGGAACCATATGTTTTCGTTTTAATTCAACAGAACGCGGCTTAGACGAGCCATCTGATGCTAGACCGGAGCTCATTGTTTATATGTTACTAGCTGACCCGGCAGACTTCGTAGTGCCTCAATCGATAAATAAAAGACCTAAACTTTTATATAGAATAAACTTAAAACAAACAAAAGGAATCCGTCCGACGGGGGACACGTCAAAGGGAAAACAAAATTGTTATTTTTATTTAATTCCGAGAATTTTCATATTTTTATACCTTTTAAACCTTCTCTGGACTTCCANGAATCCGTCCGACGGGGGACACGTCAAAGGGAAAACAAAATTGTTATTTTTATTTAATTCCGAGAATTTTCATATTTTTATACCTTTTAAACCTTCTCTGGACTTCCACAAATAATTCAAGACCAAAATTAGCCAAATCGGTCAAGCCGTTTTCATGTTATGTCGTGACAACGGAAAACGGGTTTCATTTTTATATATATAGATTTATTATGCTGTCATATAGAAATTGGCATCTTGATTGCATTGATTTTTGGTTTCGTTCTATGGACAACTCGCCTATAACGCCAGTACTTAAAGTATGAATAAAAGAGAAAACAATATAAGACAAGCTGAGGAACTATAATGCAAATCGATAATAGAATATTACTGGTGGTAGGACGTCTTATGAGCTCGCACGGGTACCACCACCCTGCCTGTTTCTGCCGTGAAGCAGTAATGCGTTTCGGTTTGAAGGGTGGGGCAGCCGTTGTAACTATACTTGAAACCTTAGAACTTATATCCCAAGGTGGATGGCGCATTTATGTTGTAGATGTCTATGGGCTCTAGTAACCACTTAACGCCAGATGGGCTGTCCGGTGTCGGGTGTCCACCCATCTAAGCAATAAAAAATAAAAAAAGAATAGTAGTAGGTCGAGCTCTACCAGGGGGCGAGGGGGAGACTAGATTGATAGCCGGAGAAACGATTATAACGGAACACCTAGACATTATAAATCGTGTTTCAGGCATGATGTCGTCAGAGGAGAGTGCTACATCATGCGTGCCCCCGCCCCCAGCACCTCCCGCCCCGCCCGCCCCCCCGGCGCCTCCAGAGGACCGACCCCGCGCACCCTCTCCGGCTTCTCTGCTGCGTGGCGCCTCCGCCCTCAAGCCGCCACGAGACCAACCAGAACCGCCGCCCGATCCGCGCTCTGATCTACTAAAGGCCATACGTGATGGTATGTATCATACATAGCCTAGACAAAACTTTTTGTTTACTTATTGTTGGTTAGTTATTTTTTAATTAACGTCATTTAAAACATTATTTCTTTTTTAATTATTGGAATTAGAAAAGTTTATTTAAAACGCTAGACCTAATTCGTTATTGCACAAAAATAAATTAAAAAGTAATATTGACTAACTAGCTGACCCGGTAGACTTCGTAGTGCCTCAATCGATAAATAAAAGACCTAAACTTTTGTATAAAATAAACTTAAAACAAAAGGGATCTGTCCGACGGGGGACAGATCAAAGGAAAAACAAAATTGTTATTTTTATTTAATAACGAGCATTTTCATATTTATCTACCTTTTAAACCTTCTCTGGACTTCCACAAATAATTCGAGACCAAAATTAGCCAAATCGGACCAGCCGTTCTTGAGTTTTAGCGAGACTAACGAACAGCAATTCATTTTTATATATAGAGAAGAAGAAGATTACTGAGAAATATTGAAGCATAGCTACAACACTCTGGCTTAGTCTTTACTCGTTGACAAATACCAAGGGCAACTAAACGAACGAACGACACGAGCTGACAAATATAATTTCATCATCATCATTAAAATTAGCCAAATCGGTCCAACCGTTCTCGAGTTTTAGCGAGACTAACGAACATCAATTCATTTTTATATATATATAGATTTTTCAATAACTACACTACGACCCGCACGCATACTATTGCAATTTATTTAAAAAACTTACAAAGAACTGGTGACTATAAATTTATTCTATTCAAATTTACTACTTTACTGACAAAGCGTCATCATAAAGTGACTTTTATATATACGTTGCAAATCTTAATTTAAATTTTCAGGTATAAAACTGAGGAAAGTGGAGAAGCGGTGCGACGAGACGACAGGACGGTACGATACATTGCGGGGCGCGCCGCCGCTACTGGACGTGGCGTCGATACTGGCGCGGCGGGTGGCGGTCGAGCTGAGCGACTCCAGCTCCGGCGAGTCGGACTCCGAGGAGGACTCGGACCAGTGGACGGAGCCTCGGGCGTGACGTCGCGCCTCGCCCCGGGACCCCTGCCGAGTGTCTCGGAACCCATCGTTTCTGAGTCGCGATATAGAGGCGCGCCGCTCGACCGACTCTCCGTCTATGCCCACGAAAACCGTATCCCCGCCGGAATTTACGACCCCAAATAAGGAATCCTCGCCACCCAAAACTCCTGTCCTTTCTCGAGAAGTTCCACGTTCTATTCTTCAAACTTCGTCTCCTCCAAAAAAAGGTTCTATTAAACTTACATCGTTAGCTACGAGTCAAATCGTAAAAAAGCCATCTCCTGCTGTATTTGAACGCTCATCTTCAATAAAGAAAACTGTTGAATCGAAAACGTCGAATTCACCTGTTGTTCCGTTGCCGTTGCCCAAAACTAAAACAAATGAGAGTACCTCAGCTTTGAAAAGCTCTCCGTCACCGCCCGACGATCTGCCACCTCCACCAATAGAACTCGTCAATCTAGAAACAGTTACATCTCCACCTCTTCAACTAAAATCGAATGAAAGTCAATCAAAAAGTGATCGGAACATGCATGCCAAAACGCTAAAAAGGGATGATTCTATCGTTCGTGAAATTCCTCCAAAAATCGAAAAATTGACGCTTGTTGCACCCGAAATAGAACAGAATAAGACTGAGACTAGACCCGTAAATGAAAGCACAAATGAATCAAAGGAAGAGGAGTCTAATGGAGTTGGTGATAAGATTAAGAAATTTGAGAAAGCAGCAGAGGAAGCGACCGTTGGACGTCTATCCCGACCGGGGTCCATGCGCCGGCCCCGCGTTTCTCGTCTATCCTCTGATGCAAAAGATGAGTCTCCATCTGTTAGCTCGCCTGCTCCTCAATCGGATCGAATCAACTTTGTCTCTTCGCGGTGGCAACCCACAAACGGAGACCGGCCTCGGCCCGAACCCCAGAAAATAATAAAGCCAGAATTCCGTCAGACCGCAGTGACCTCTGAAATCACCATTCGATCACCGAGTCTCGGTGCGAAAATTGCTGATCGTTTCCCATCCCGCGATACTGCTTTTCGCAACGTCGCAGGGCCTGACGGAAATCGTACTCGCGATCAATCTGATGATGATACGGAGGCTCGCTCCAAAACGTCGGTCCAGAGGCGAGATACTCGCCATTCGGTAAGCAAGGGGTCCAGTTATTTCACGCGCGGATCAGAGGAGATCTGGCTCGTTAAAAAGAAAGATATCGAGGAAATCGAAGAACGAGTTTTCGATTCATTTCGGCGAGCAGGGGCGTGTGTGCGCAACGAGGGACCGGTGCAGGGTGCTGCAGCGCAGGGTTGTACCGGGCAGGGCGGCGCGGCTCAGGGCTGTGCGGTACAGGGCGGCACAATGCGGCCGCGACGTCACGCCTACGGCCGCAGCGAGTCCCTGGAGGCGCACTGGGCGGGCACACGTGCCCACACGCTCAAGCGCCAGGCGTCAGTGGCATGCACGTGCGGCCACGACCGTAAGCCGCGACCTCGTGCGACGCCCGACACGCCCGTGCGGACCCGCTCCCGCTCTCACGGCGACGAAAACAATCAGTCGCAGGTTCTTGACAAGTATGAAACACTTGTGTAGCTGACTCCGTACTGATGTTCGTGTGATCGAATGTGTATCGGCCTTGTGAAATTATTGAAAACTTCTAGTCTACGGTGGTTTGTTTTCGATGAGACTGAGATGGATGCGGGATGGAGAGCGATGTCATTTGGGCAATGTTTATTTACAATGAATATTTATTCAATGCAATGCAATGAATATTTACTCATGTATTGGTGGGATATCCAGTGTAAAAATATTCATTCCTAAACTATTTTGTACGGTTAACATGATAGTACGCATATTTACTTCAAATTGTGGCTTCTAGTTAAATTTAGATGAAATTATATTATCTATTCGAAATAATCCGCGGCTGTTGTTAGTTTGACGACATCTTGTGTAATTTATAATGTTTAATGAAACCAAAAATCTTTATTGAATTTCTAATAGTGACCAGAATATGTTCAAGGAGAAAATGCTTTCTAACAATTTTAAGGGTGTGTCTATAATAACTTTAAAATTTTATTTTCTAAATAATTGATTTAATTGTCAAGCGTGAGTCAATTAATGATTTCCCTATGATCATTCATTTGATCAATCATCATGAATGTGCAGTTTTGTCACTATAAAATTATACGTATATCATATTGGAGAAGCCCTGAGCACAAGATATTGGTGCTTTGCTTGTTAGTTTAGGAATTCATATAGCAAAGAAGTTTTGCAAGATATCAAATCATATAAATTTTTATACTTTTAGTAGTAAAATGCCCATGCTTTAATTGAAACAGGAAAATTTTTGCTAGTCGATTACTTGTGTATTCGATGCGTTTATAAATTTACTTATGAATACTCCATTTAACCATTTTTCCATGTTTAATGCATTTGTTATAATATTTTATAAGGCAATAAATTATTGACTGTGTGTCCGCTTACAAGATAGTTCCATGAATTTTTTCAAATGTATAGTGCCAATAATCATGTCGAAGTATTTAAATTGTAAGGCATCCAAAAATTCTTCCATTCTTTAATTTTTAATAAAACTTACAAAATGGTAGAAACAGATGATGATGTTCCTTAAAAAAACTCGAAAGGAAGTGGCAAAAAACTGAATTTTTTTGTTTAAAAAAAAAAAAACATTCCCTTTCCTTCATTTCCAAGCGGTTGTTAATACTGTGTTTAAGTGTTATAATGAGCAACGAATGTGTACCAAATTGTTTAAACTAACTGTAATGTTGTACCTAGCTAGACGTAAGTTCGAATTTTGTACCTACTCATAATACATTTCATTTAAGCTAAATTTATACAATTGTGTATTAATAATAGAAATTATGTTCTTTTGACATTTACAAAATGATTTTTATTTAATTTTCGCATTGTGGATTAGTTTTCAATTTTCACAAATCATCTCTTCATCCGACATCATTCAATTAGTTACCTACGTTGCGTAAAAATTCTAAGTGCACCACGTAGGTACTAGTTTGTATGTAAATGAGAAGAAACGTGTATGAAATGTAATTATAGGTTTAAGAAAAATGAATAAAGCATGTTTTATATTAAAAATATTATGTAAATGCCTCATCACTTTGCCCAGATGTGGAAAACTACTAATTATTTATTTGCAACATTTTTTTAAAATATTATTTTACTTTTTAATGTAAAACATAAAATAGTTATGTGCAGTAAATTCTTAATACGGATGGTGTCAAAGTCACGGCGCCAATTGTGTTCCAAGTTTTTGACAATATTTTAGATATGAATTGAAATGTTTGCTCCATTACTCTGGGCCGCGAGGGTATGTACCGTATCCCCAGATAAATTTCACTTATGAGAATGTTTTATAAATTGTTTATTTGCTAATACAGTGTAAGTTATATTAATCTCTTTTATTGCATTTCCCATCGTTCTGGTCTAATGATAGGTAATTAAGGTAAATATGTGTTGTTTGCTGTTTGCTTCCTACCTGATCGCTAATAGCATAAGGGGTTATTCCAGCTAGTCACGGGCTCAACCTGAGAGAATTTCTAACACTAGTTCTAGCAAAAGCAGTGCTTTGCAGAATCTACCACCGGATCAGAATAGCGATCCACTGAAAAGATCCGGTGAGAAACTCAGTAGGTTGTGTTTATGGGCTACGTTCCACGTGGAAATCTTCGAGTACAGCGATCTGGCCTACTGCTGCATCTATCGTTAGAACGTGCAACAGTACCGAGTGTGTGGATGTGGAGTGAGTCGATCCATTTGGACGAGTTTAGGGCATAGACAGTGAATCTGTAGATGTGAATGCGGTACCTACATAGACCTATATAGTAGGGACACGACATATTGTTCTATACGTACAATTGCTTATATAAATAGCACCCATTTTGAAGGCACACACATAAACATATATCTATCTCGTTCTTACTCAGCACTTTAACTCGCAGGAAAACAATATAACAGTATTTCAGTGCGTACATAAAATGAAACATGAATATACGTAAATATCTCCGTCTCCGTCTAATGAGGCCGAAAATCCGCCATGTTTAGCGCGCCAAATGTCATTGTCACGTCAGTTCGGCCGTCTGTTTTGGGTTGTACATTATTTATTGACTTTGATATCGATTTAATATGATTGATTATATAAAATTTCATAATTTATCATGCTTAAAACATACAAAAATAATAATTAAAACGTATTTTATAGGATCTCAAGAAAGTCGATGCCCTAAAACTATTATCTATATGTATTTAAATTCATTATGGAGCCCTCATCCGAAAAATCCATTTTTCGGTCGGAATCTATTGATCATGACACTAATCATAAATACCACTTTAAAATATGTCATCAAAACATATTTAGACATTCTGTTTAGATATTTCGGGAAAAAGGCTACCGACAAAATCTCTTCGGAACTATTTAAATAAAATAGTTTTATTCCGCAGTGAGTAAAACACTATTGTAAATTTGTTAAATATTTAATAATTAAGTGATTTTAGAGAGGAAGTCACAAGGAATGACGTTTGTAATTAATGAATAAATGTTCTGTAGGTGTTTTTTTTTTCACGCGGTCCCTTGATAAGTTTAAAATTTGAATCACTCTCAAGCGAAAGTGATTCAAATGGTGCGGCGCACCTTCCTTGGGGTGCGCTGCGGTAGTATGTTACGGACTTTAGAGTCAGCAAAACAATTAAAATAGATTGTAATAGTCTAAGAAAAACACGTACTCAAAATACGATAACATTTAGCATGCTAGAAATGGGCTGATGGCTTTGAACTACGCCATATCTTTATGTTTTGCGACAAACGACAACTTTATAAAATCAGTGTAGCAACTTTTAAAAATCATCATATCGTTTACTTGGCAAATTCGAAGGACGAACTTGTCTTAGATTTCACCCATCTAAATCATATCATATTTGCACATAACAATATACCTACTTACTTCCCATTAAAGTATAAATTCTACAAATAAATAATACTCAACAATATTTAAAATAAAATGAGCCAAGAACGTTTATCGATAAAACCTGATAACATTGAAATCTTTTGTACAGCACTAAAGCCGCCATGTTTTGTGGCCAGATGACGTCACAGTGGCACGAAATTTTGGTTGACGTTTCATTTCCATAGGTTTCCTACTTCATTGGGTACCTACAATACTTTCTCGTTCCTACTTTACTGGCTATAGAAAGTAAGACAACTCATAATCAGCTAATATTGACTAAAAAGACGACTAGTCCATGACCGTAAATATCTTGAAACGTGAAAGCTGATCGACCACTTTTTGGCGGGAACGCAAGAATCGCAGTGTAAATTGTTTAATTTACATTTAGTGTTTCGTCAGCTTTGAACATGTTATAATGGTGGCTTATTTAACGTTTAACATCGGTGAACGGCGGTGTACAATTGTGAGTGTAGAAAAGATCATTTAATTCTCAATATTTTTTTACCATTTTATTGGAACGTCGCGTCATTTCTTTTGATATAGTTTTTACTGGCAACTATAGCAATATTCAGGAAAAGAATAGACTTTTTGGCGGGAACACGAGGAGTGAGATTGTGCGATTTGTTTTATTTGTCTATTTAGTGTTTCTTCAGATTTAAGTGTGTAATAATGGTGGTTTATTAACTGTTAAATATCTGTGAAAGTGCACAAATGCAGGAAAATGAAACAAAGCCGCTGAACGTAACTTCTCGGGATCCTCCAAAAAGTCCACTGAAAAAGTCTCAGTAATTGACCACCATTTTACTGAGATTATATTATGTCGTCCCATATCATATATCATCTCATCTCATCTCATTTCATTTCATTTCACCCCAGTTGAATAATGTGTCAAATTAATCATCTTCATTTCATTTCATTTCACAATATTATCATTGTTCGTAAAAATATGAATATAAATTAAAATAAGACATGACTTAAAGGTCTTAGTTACCAGGTCAAAAAACCCTTAAAAAAAAGGAAAAGAATAATAATTAAATAAAGATCAAATTTCGTACCTACGTACAGCAGGTTTTGATTATTCGATGGACATAGATATTGTCATTGATATTTTGTGGAAAACGATATCAAAACTAATTTTCACTACCACCCATTTCTTTAATTTTCACTTCTTTTGTAGGCACTCATAGTGGTTGGAATGTTTATGATATTAAAACAGGTCTCCCGATAAGTCTAAATACTCATCTAAGAAGCTAGTTAATTTTTTTCCTAAAATGAAATTATTACGGATTTTTCGAGCGTGAGAAAATTGCCTATGAATTAAAAAAATAATTAATTAATTTTGTTAAAAAATTATGTACTTTGAATTTTAAACTTGCAATTTGCAACATTAGGAAGGAAGTTTATTAGGCCACGATCTGATCATTTTACTCTTTTAGGTGCAAAACAAAAATGTATCCAAAAGATTCAATTTCTAATTTTGAATAACAATTTATTGCTTGACATTATTATCGTACAATAACATGACCTAATAAAAATAGCGATTGCCCGTCCCGTTCTCGTAAATTCTTCAAATGCGACGAAGATTTCTGAGTTTCTCGCGAGGTATTCTCAGTGTGTCGTGATTCCGACCCCGTGGCAGATTCAGGGAAACACTGCTCTTGTTAGGGCAGATTTCAGGAAAATTTTTGTGTGACTCGTGAGCTCAAGGTGAAGTCAGAACAGCCCTCGAGGCTACTGGCAGATATGTAGGCAAATCAAATTGGTAACGATTGTTTCTGTTTGGTAAAAACGTACGTGACACACAAGATTTCAATAAAAAAATTATTGTTTTTAACAGTTTTTTTTATTATAAATATATTACTTTGCAAATTAATGGTACAAATATGTATACAGGTACCTAATTATTATTTGATTAATTTTGAATCACTCTTGCAGGAAATAGGTTTTGGTAGGTACATACGTACAAATGGGGTTGGCAACTGTCAAAGTGGCGCTGGTGTGCATTGTTCCCATAACATTCAATATTTGTATTGGAATTTTTGATTCAAAATTATTTTAAGCACAATGACGCGTTGTTTTGTGCCAATATGCTCAGAAATTGGAGTACATCAATTCGCGAAGGACAAGAAAATTGGAAGACTGTGGTTAAAAGGCCATTTGACGCGAAAAAAGTACTCCCACAAAAAGTTCGAGGTTATGTCGTAAACACTTTGTGGAATCTGACTATGAAAACATTAGTAAATACACAGGTATGCTTCTTTCTGTCAAATATTTATAATGCATGACTAGGTGTAGCACACATCTTTGTTCTCTTATTAAAAAAATCCAATAATAATTAGTTAGGCACACTATTAGTTGCTAACATATTTTGCAAGTAGATTTATGCTGTAAGGAACCTTTTAACAAACACAAAATCAGACTGGAGGAAACACATTCCTCATGAGCTGTTGTTCATTATCAGCTGTTACTATTGAAAGTTCTATCTAAATCGCTGCATCCATTGTTAATAACAAATATTTTGAAACTATGGTTAGGTTTCCTTGTGATAGTATATTTAAATGTTTTTCTTTGTGTTGTAGGTGTCAAACATTAACATAAATATCTGAAGAAAGGTGCTGTACCATCTATATTTTCATGGAATATGAAATCAGTTTCTGAAGAAACAAAAAGTAGAGAACAAAGGTTACAAACTCGTAACCTTAAAAAACAGCTTTTTAGCCTGCCCAACACTTCCCAATACTGTGAAGATATAGTACCCCTTGAAGAACACAGCAATGTGCATTTTGATTCAAATGTCTCTCAAGAAATTCTAATAGAATATAATAACTCTAGTATAGATGAAACAATTACAAGGCATCATATTACTATTGGAACTCAAACATCCAATATATTAAGATTGTTCTCTACAGAGCTATTACTTGCAGACGATGAGACAGTGCAATACTACACCGGGTTGGTAACAGCATCTAAGTTTTCATTAGTTTTAATCACACTTTTGCCAATGGCAAATGATATAAGGTATCGCTGGAGTAGACTGGTCGGCATATCAATAGAAGATCAATGTTTAATGTTATTTATTAAGCTTACAAGAAACACAACAGATTTTGAATTAAGTAAAATTTTCGGTGTAAGTAAAACTGAGGTGTCTAATATTGTTTTAACATGGATAAATTTTGTCAGTGATATCTAGAGCCTAATTGACATTTGGCCTAGCCGCAGCTTAGTAAATTATTATATGCCTAAATGTTTTAGAACACATTATTCTTCCACAAGGGTGATTATAGATGGGTCTGAAATAGGCATACAGAAGTCTAGTCAACCTGATGCTCAAAAAGCGTCATTTAGTTCTTATAAACATAAAAATACCTTGAAATTTTTGGTAGGAGCTTCACCAGGGGGATTATTATTATATGTTTCCAACGGCTACGCTGGTTCTGCAAGTGATCGACAGATACTAGAACGAAGTAAGCTGCTGCAGATTTGTGATTCTGGAGATAGTATTATGGCAGACAGAGGTTTTAATGTACAGGATCTGTTTGCCTCTAAAGAATTAGTATAAATATCCCATCTTTTTTAAAAGGCAAATCACAAATCCCAGGTGTTCAGTTAAAGATAGATCAAAAATTAGCTAGTCAGAGGGTTCACATAGAATGAATAATTTCATATGTGTAATGTTATGTAATTTTAGAGAAGGAATTGTCAATAAAAATAATTAAAAATATTCCTGATTTTTTATTTCGACAAGTGTGTATAGTTATAATACAGATATTTTTCATACAATACTTCTTTGAAAATATTTTCATAAAAGATATCTAATTTATTTAACATATTATTTATAAAATTATTGTCTTTTTCAAAATAAATCACTTTGATGTACTTGTAGGTGTAAATGACCAAGTTGCAGTATGTTTTGCCTGAACAGTTTAACTGCCCTTGGATTTGATAATAATATGGGCAGGTTTTTTTAGAGACAATATCCCGTTACATTGTTCTAAGTAAGGCACCGTTGTTATATTTATTTCATGTTTTCTGCTAGCGTATGGACATTTCACTTCAATTATAGTTTCTTCGCCCAACACACCATCAGGAGATGCAGCAAGATATGGGCGCTCTTGGCTAATGAAAATGCCAAATGGCTCCACTAGCAAATCATACATATTAGCATATTTTGCTAGAGCAATTTTTTCATTTTGTTTCAAAATTAAAATTTTGGTCATATAGCTCTAATCTGAAAAAAGTAAAATAATACATTAGTTGGTAGGTTATGTGTAATATGAGCAATTCTTTTTGCACATGCTACAAGGAATAAAGTTCATAAGGTACACAATTTAACATTATTATTATAATAGCTACCGGAAACAGTTTGAGAGAAGTTTTCTAAGTTAAAACAAAACATCAACATTGTACCTTTCGACAAAATCCACTTTTTTTCCTCGTAAAGATGCACAACGTTTTCTCAACTCCTCCTTTAATTCTTTAACTATCCAGTTGGAAAACATGTTGTAAAACTGTTTAGCACTACTTAGAAAGTAATAAGAACTGTATCAAAGTCACAAAATGCCGAAATATCACGAACGCAAAACACACAAAATGGCGGCTCTCTGTGACAAGGGAACAAGCTACGCTGGCGACATCTGAGAAAAGCTTTAACCGGCCAACCTCATTAAAACTAATCACTAATCAGGAAACGAAGAATCTATTAGTGCAAAACATGGCAACATTGAAATGTTCGCTTGTTTGAGCTTGAAAGAAAATTGCAAGTGAATTGTAATGAATTGTTCTTAGATTTTGAATTTTAATTATAAAACAAAAGAGCATTAGCAGTACCGTATAGTTAAGTTTATGAATAGTGATAGAAAATATTTTTCTAGACATAGCTATAAGGTAAACATTTGAGTTTTCTGTTAAACTACTTTCATTTTATCGTCAAAGTGTCGCACGCACAAATTTTATCAAAATGACTTCTGCTCTTTATTTGGAGCATTATTTGGACAGTCTACAGCACTTGCCGATTGAACTGCAAAGAAACTTCAAGTTGATGAGAGATTTGGATGACCGCGCTCACGGGTTAATGAGAACCATTGACCTTATGGCCGATGAGTTGCTTCCAAGTATTCCAAAAATGGATGAAGAAACAAAAAAAGAAAAGGTGAACACTATTCAAGGATTATTCAATAAAGCTAAAGAGTATGGAGACGATAAAGTGCAACTTGCAATTCAGACCTACGAATTAGTAGACAAGCATATACGTAGACTTGATTCTGACCTCGCGCGTTTTGAGTCTGAAATACAAGAGAAAGTAATGAGTGCTCGTGCAGCTCAACAGGCTGCTGCAGATCAGGAAACAAATCCGGCCACAGCTAAAAAAGGTAGGAAAAAGCATAAAGGTACTGAGAAAGCAGCTGCTACGACTGGTAAAAAGAAGCGTGCCGGAGCCTCCAGTGAAGAAGACGCTGTCGCATCCGGAAGGTCAGCTGCGAAGAAGAAAGTTCAGCGTAAAGGTACCACCACTACAACAAATGTTACAAAAGAACAGGAAGAAACTGCCGATTTGGATTCAGTGGCCGGCATGGCACACCCCAGTGATGTGCTAGACATGCCGGTGGATCCTAATGAACCAACATACTGTCTGTGTCATCAAGTTTCATATGGTGAAATGATTGGTTGTGATAACCCAGATTGCCCAATTGAGTGGTTCCATTTTGCTTGTGTTGATCTGAAAATTAAACCGAAGGGTAAATGGTACTGCCCTAAGTGCACTCAGGATAGAAAAAAGAAATGATCCACAGCTAAACCACCTTTGAAACCCACAGATAAGACTGTTACTCTAAAGAAAGAGGTGAAGTGACTTCCTATAAAAATTAAAATATAATAATAATATATAACTCCCAACCATATAAGGAATTGTGATTTTATTATTATTATAGTTATTGTAGTCTAATGAGTCCATACTGTTGTGTAAGTCATATGACATTAAATAAATCTTACTGCATTCATAAAGTGATACGTCATTAACACCTTACCAGTGACATTTTAATCACTTGAAACCAAAAGGTAGATCTTTTAAAAACAATAGATTTGTTTTGTTATGTGTGATAGTAGGACTCATGACTGTACTACTTAAAGCTGTAGTGCCAATAAATTAAATATAGATTATTGCAGAATCTGAAATATTACATTAATATTGCATAATATATTCTCAAATTATAAAGGCATTAAATACATGTTAAAATGCATCATTAATACATTGTTTACTGAAAACAATTTCTATTATTTTATAGAAATGAAAACATGACAATAAATTAACACCATTTTACAATTTATACAGCTATCAAGTAATTGTTGAAATAATTTGTTAAACACAAATAAACAAATGTACATATATTTCATTGAATTTATTTTCAAAATATTGTATAAATTTGGATTTAAGTACCTACGTGGTGTCTTAAATAAAATTAAAAAATTATAATTGAATGCAAAATTTATAGTATTTACCTATTTAAGTATGTCATCTGAAAGCTATCTAATAAACAAGATCAATTCCAGTTTGATACTGAGATAATTTGACAGGTGCAAGAAATAACGTTTTGTAACTCAGTTTTAGCTAAATGTGATATACAATCCATGTGTTTGTTGAATTGTATAAAGGGCTTTTTAAAAAGCAGATTAGATTTTGACAAAACATAAAGCCCCATTACAGAATTAAATATTTTCAGTAAGTAGTTCTGAAATTAAAGTTTCATGTTTTTTGCAAAGCTTTTGAATATGAAAGATTGGTGTGCAGTTGCATATTAAGTTATATGTATTGCTAGTATTGATCATGGCTAAGCACAATTGTATTAAGATTATTTTAGTTTAATAAGATTAAAAACCAAATAATTGTGTTAGCTATATCACATTATTGAATTTTATTAAAATCAATTTGAGCTTTTACAATTTTTCATCTCTTTTGACTTCTTTCTGCCCTAATATGATTTAAAAAAAATGCATTGGCAATTAGTTTTGTAAAAGAGACAAATTTATATTTCAAAATTGGTTAAAGTATGCACGCAAATTGGGAACATTTCATTACACTCTCGCACGTCCCTCCTATATTAATAGTGCCAGGGATTTTACGTTCACCCTTGTTACTGTAATCATAAAAAAGGGCTTGGTTCAAAGTCTTTCCTTCATCATAGTCGGTTGCTCTTGGCAGAGCGGTCGTGATCATGTGGAATTCTTTCTTTAACCAGATTGAAATTAATTTATTTTTTATTTTTCTAACAGTAAATTTTGATATATGTAGATAGTGAATTTAAATATTGAAACAAGTTATGGCAGTCAATTGAAGCAAATTTATACTGAATATAATGTAATAAGTACATATTGTAATTAGAATTTTTTGAACTGTACATTGTAGTAGATTTTGTATGTATTAGCTAGAAATGTAGAGTTTTTTAAATATTAAATGTTTGTTATTATATGCTTCCAGTTTCGTTGTTTTAAGTGGTTCAGTAGAATTTTTGATTGTATTTCATTATTTAAATGTGCTCAATTTGTTTTATCACTTGTTTTTAATCAAATAGCTAACTCAATAAGTTGAATGTAGACATTCAGTAAATGTAGTACCAATAAATGATTTTCAAAAGATTGTAAAATATAATCAAATAATTTACATGATTAAATTTTATTTTATAAATATTTTGTTGATTATCATTGAACCTGTTTATTCATGAGTATGCACCTCCTTTAACGCAGGTCGTGTGTTGCCGGCGGAGTAGAATAGCATCATCCATCTGTTCGAGTCTTGCTCTAGTAATAATCCCCGTTCCACTGGGTCTAGGAAGATGAGGAAGAGTATGTGCACCTGTGGCTCGCGCGTACGTTTGTGCACGTTAATATATCCTGCGTAACTGACCGCTTCCATATGAAGGAATCCGATTTCAGATTAGTCCTACGGCGATGGATGGAAGTAGAGAGGCTTGACGTGATGCCGGTTGGGCTTTGTATGACACCTACACGGCCCTGCGGGTGTAGTTTTACATCGTGGTCGCTTTTGTTCTGCATTGGGGTAATAGAGCGGATTCGGCAACACCAGGGGTGACCAAGCAGCCCTATTCAGGGAGGCACTGCCGTCCTCGCTCAGCCGGAGAGGGAGCTAGAAAAGGTGCCCTAAACAAATGCTCAATCTAATCCTTATGGAGGGTAGCAACCGCGGCTGCTTGTAAAATTCGCGGTCGAAGCCATAGGAAAAATAATGTTAGTAAATCAACGTCACTGACGTTTGTCGCGTGGAATGTGCGTAGACTCCTTGACCGTGAGGTAAGTTCCTGTCCCGAACGCAAGACTGCCATTGTAGCTCGGGAGGTTCATCGCCAAACTCCGTAACGCAAAGAGGTTTACCAAATGCGAATTCCGGGCTCTGAAGTGGGTGTTGATAGAAATATTCGACAGCAGTTCCATGGAATCTACCTAGTCAGGTCATAAGTATTGTCACACAGTAAAAACTTTTCTTTTAGAATGCTGGCCACAAAAATGTTTATTGAATGCGAATTTCGAATTGTTCATGAAAATAAAAAAGGTATACTTTTAGAATTTTACTCATTTTTAAATATGGAGTGGACGCTTAAAGAAGACCGTGTTGCAGATATTGCGTTGCATCGTTGCGGTTACGCGCCAATTCAAATTTTTAACATACTGAAAAATTTGAATACAACCAAAAGATTCGTTTATCGTACCATCAAACGATACAATGAAGACTCTAGTGTAGATGACAGGTCAAGAAGTGGTCGCCCTCGGTCTGTTAGGACTCCAGCAGTGATAAAAGCTGTGAAGGCGCGAATTCAANTAGGCCCCTGACATTGCTGAAATCCACATTAAATGTGGAATAGGGGATCGCCGATATAACCCTTTTTCTGTTTATGATTTTCATTTTTGTTGTTTTTTGGAGAGTGGGATAGGGTGAGGTAGGATGTTCGAAGTGAAATCATGACAACACCTGAATAAAGCGCGGAACACAGCGTGTGGTCGATCACGGGTTGCGTGAGAGACCGACGCTGGGCATGGAAGGGCCCCCAGTCCACCCTGCGTGCGATCGCCGGGATCCACTCCGGTCTCCGACTCCGGCACGACGACCGCACGACAGGATTTTACACCGGTTGGCGGGACAGCTTCCCGGGGCGGAGTTTAGTAGTGACACCCGGGTTCAGGTCCCCTACTGACCGGCGGGCGGCGGCGAACACCGTTTCACTGAGTCTCCCTATACCCCCGTCAAACAATCACGTCCCGCAAGCTCGCACACACGTTTGCTCCGCATGTTCCAGGTATCATCAAGATTCACCTCCAACAAGGAAGAGGAAAGGGAAGGAATAAAACTGGCTCTCCAACCCACACGCTGGAACACAGCTAGGCTATTTGGCGGCGGACTCTAGTTGGAAGGTGGTCGCCAGCCAGTCGGACTAGGTCCTACCACCGGTTATGTTTTCGGCTCCCGTTTTGCACCACCCAGGGGTCACTTGTAGGGAATCGCGGGTTAAACCTACGGAAGCGGGAAGCATTCAACTCGTCTCGAACTCAGCCATAGTCTTATTTAGCCAAGTCCAATATACAACCTCTTGCAATGTGTGGTGGAATGAAGCATTAGAACAAAGAGTCACCAAAAATTTAACATTATGAGGGATTTACATTACGAAATTAGTGTCATGCATGTTGAGCTCAGTTTCACGAAAATAGTTTCGATATATGCGAAATTAGTTTCGTTAAAAAATTAGTGTCGCGATATCCACAGTATCGCAGTAACCATGGCGCCTTCAGCATCAAAGCTATAATTTGCTATATTCAGTGTAGCTAAAGAAATGCTTATATACCTATAAACTTTAAAAAAAGACTATCAAGAAAAAAAAAAGTTGGTAGATTCGAGGATGGTCAACAAGAAGGCATTTAGGTGCAATGAAGTTAGTCTCTGAATTAGCAGATGAAGATTCTGAGAGTAATAAAAACTATTTTCGAATGAGTGAAGATAATTTTGATTTTTCACTATAGGTGTTTCGGGTCCCATAGACACCCTTGTCGCTGATATTCATTAATAAGATCTAATTTTTTTCTGTACTCCATCGTTGGTTTGCCATTTTCAACGCTTGAAGCGCGTCCGAACTAACAATACACACGTCCGCACAGCGCAGGCCCTTTCGCGACATTAGTTTCACGTCGCGTCTACACTATGAAATTAGTTGCATGACATTAATTTCACCAAAAAATCGCGCAGGGCACGAAACTAATTTACATGCATGAAATTAATGCATGCATTACGAAAGTATTAAATTACACGTGAAACTGTTGGTAAAACTAATGTCACGAAATTAATTTCATGCCACTAATTTCGTAATGTAAATTCGCCTTTATAAAAGCGCGCACTACACTGGCCTTATTTACACAGTATCTTTTAAAAGATTACTGAGGAACTACTAAAAACTTACTTCAGCCCGTTTAGCTCCAAGTCACAGATTAATTCACGACTGTAACCTGCCCGTATGGGGTATACCTAATATTAAAACCGGTTATCTAAGGGTTACAATATTAAAACCGGTTATATATTACAGAGGCGCCGCCGAATGGAACCAGATTTCGAATGCCGTGAAGCCAGGAGGAAACTTTGTCGTACTCGGTAAGTACTAACGAAAAAAATAGCTTAGTACACATTTTCGATCTTACGTCAAGGGCTGTACGTACGAATTTCATTTGCAGACCTGGAACCGGCCACTTGGTACGTGCTTAGGATCACGGCTCACAACAACGCTGGCTTCAATGTGGCTGAATACGAATTCGCGACTCTAACGATGACTGGCGGTTAGTGGTTATAAGATTTGTTTCGAATCTTAATTAATAATTAGGATAATTATTAACACGTTGAACGCCAGACTAGATACTATGTTTAGCCCAGTGTGCCGCAGAGGACAATAAGTGACTATGTCCCTATATTGGGGTGCGTGCGGCTCTAGGTGAAAGTATGCCGTTGATACATGGAGACCCAATACCGTCTTTACCATAAGGGCACACGGGGCCCGTGCCCAGGGCCGCCATTCTTAGGGGGCCCCGAAAGACCGACAATTTCTCTCACACGTTTATTCTCAAAACATTTTTGTCGGGCACATTACACTTTTTTCACAAATCAGTAATCAAAAGGTTTTCAGAATCAGAAGAATTTACAAGGCATAATATACTATGCCTATAATAGAAGATTTTGCTCAACATAAATCCCGAAAGAAACCGTTATCGAAATCGTAACCAAAAAACCAGCAGCATTCTAACATCATTAATGACACATTATATCATACTGTATTTGATTACCTATAATAAATGGTCATACTCAGTAAAAAAATGTTATTATAATTCGCTTTTTTTACTTTCCAAAAGGGCCTCAAATTCTTGTGTGCCCAAAGGCCCCATCCTAGTTTTTGACGTCCCTGTGGAGACCGTCATGGCGCTCAACGTTTTAAAACTACTTTTACTTAAAATTACTTTAAGCAAAAACTTATAAACTACTTTTAATGTCACGTTTTTACTATCATTATATTATTTCCGACGAATCGACTCCAGTCGTCCGTGACCATGAAAACTGCAGTATTTGGAACGAATATAATGACAATAAAATAGAGAGATTAAACTTTAAGCATAGTTTTAATTAAGTTGTGGGTTTTGTTTTTTTAACCTTTTTAACCAAATATACCTTACTGAATTTAACCCATCACATTCCGCTTATCAACCCTACGTATATTTTGTTTGCCTTGCTAATATCATACTATACGATTGAATATAATTGGTAAAAAAAATATATTGGTATAGTATTTTACACGTACCTGAAATGCATCGCCAATTTCCTTTTTGTTCTGTTTTATTGTGATCGTAAGTACGGAATAACAAGATGGCGGCTTGCATTTCAGGTACGATCGCGCCCGCACGCGACGCGGGGGGCAACGACCTCAGCGCCGAACAGACCCTCAAGATAATACTCTCGCACCTGAACCTTATCGTGCCCGTCGTTGCTGCCATTCTGGTCATCATCATCGCCATCGTGGTGGTGTGCGTCGTCCGGGGCGCCCGAGACCAACATAAAGGTAAACACGTGCGGATTGTTGTTGGTAGGAACCATCGCTCCGCTGCCGGGCAATGCTGATGGCGATAAGGAACTCCCGCCCTGGGTGCGGGCGTGGCTAGAGCCTGAAGTCCTGGTGCCGATCTTGGCCACCATCGTCGTGTTCGTCGTGGGAGTCGTGGTCATCTGTCTCACTCTGGCTCGCAGGAATACTCCCCACCGTCTGCGAGGTCAGAAGGATGCGTATTGTATGTATGGCGGCACCGATCACCGCTTTTCGTTTTATTTAACCATTCTTATATTTTAATCATCAACACATCGATTTTTAAGTCATTGTATTTGTTTAAATTTCATTAAATACTAGTCCTAAATCCGACCCGCTTTACTAGTCGATCTGTGATCCGATCGCTNTCGCAGGAACACTCCCCACCGTCTGCGAGGTCAGAAGGATGCGTATTGTATGTATGGCGGCACCGATCACCGCTTTTCGTTTTATTTAACCATTCTTATATTTTAATCATCAACACATCGATTTTTAAGTCATTGTATTTGTTTAAATTTCATTAAATACTAGTCCTAAATCCGACCCGCTTTACTAGTCGATCTGTGATCCGATCGCTTCCGAACTTCACAGCATCACCCACCACGTCGAACGCCACGTTCCCTTTTGTCGAAATTTGTCTAGCGTTTTTTTTTTATAGCCCTAGCAAGCAGACACGAGCATAAGGCCCACCTAATGGTAAGTGGTTACCGTCGCTCATGGACGTCAGTAATGCGAGGAGCAGAGCCAAGCCGCTGCCTACTGCTTAATACTCTCGGAAAGTTTCGGAGTGTATTGAGAATATACATACAGACATCGACTTATACAATATATAGATTGTATCACGGTTCGTTCTGATAGCGCGTACGCAGTGTGCCGGGGGTCTTAAACACGTCATTACGGATCCTCCCGATCCATTAACAGTGCTTTTGGGTACCTCAAGCACCGGTCACCGTCCTCGCCGAACCCGTCGCTTGCGACGAAGGGCTCGGCGAATAAATTAACCCATAGACACAGCCCACTGAGTTTCTCGCCG